TTCTATTCTATTCTATTCTATTCTATTCTATTCTATTCTATTCTATTCTATTGCCAAACCTCAAGATCTTCTCTACATGAGACTAATGATTTTGGGAGTATGTAGCCTAGAAAAAAGATAATTGAAGGGAGATTCTTGAAGTACTTGAAGAGAAAGCATAAAGGAAGAAAGCAAGAACTTTTCTCTACTGGGAACATAGTTTTAAGTTAACAAGAAATAGATCCAGGTTGCATATAAGCATCTTCACGGAGTAGTTTATCAGATGAACGTATTATTAAGGGAAGTTATGTGAACTTTTTCTATTTGTTGGATATGTGGACAAGCAGGATGCACAGCCATCCAACAGGAATGGCTTCACTTGGATTCTTGCACTGAGCAAGAGGCTATATTCAAAGTCCTGCTTCTTTTCTAGTCTCTGAATCTAAGAAGTGGGGCATCCAAGTTCTTGCTACTGGTGTTGGAAGCAAAGCCTTTGAGACTTTGAGAAGGAGCTTGCTTGAGGCTATGCAGTCTGAATGGGACAGTTTCTTGTTCTTGTTTCCCACCAATCCGGCGAATAAAGCTATCATTTCCTCTACTTTGTATATCTACAAAGGAGTATATTAACAACTAAATGTTTCTTAGTAATGTAGAAGCTTGTTAATATAACATTTCCTGTTTTATTTTTCTGTTCCAGATCTTACAAAGCCACCACTGGCCCCCAAACCAAAGATCTTCAGTCATCTGGCTTCCATAGCTGCTTCCAAATTTCCTCCGTCACTATCAAGGGCTGGCACACTTCATAATTCAAACTCTATGTCTAGGGGTCCAAAACCACCCATTGCTCCCAAGCCAAAAATCTCTGCTGACAACGATCCAGCAATTTTACAGAGATCCAGCATTTATGCTAATAATACCTTTAACAAATATCCCACTGAAAAACTGGAAGCTGAACTGTATGAAGAAAACCAGTGCAATAACACGGGGTGTCCAGAATCAGAAGACGGCAATGCATACATTGTAATTCCAGATGTTGAACTGACTGATAAAACATACAGTGACTTTGAGCCAGCCGAGAACGAGATTTTGCACACTCTTGAATCAGTAGGTGAGGAAGATGGTAATTGTACGGATAGCAATGAAGTATACGATGATGGCCCAATAAATGTAATGAAGAACAAGGATACTGAATCGGTGGGAGACAACTCTCTGGAATCAATTGAAATCCCAGCACTTGACTGCCAGGAACCATTCGAAAGGGAAAAAGAAGATGCTACAAGAGATGAATATGAAAAAGTGGACGGTGAAAATCCTCCCAGTGAGACCAAAATGAACTGTGCAGATGAAACTCTAAGCAAACTGGATTTGGTAAACGATGACAATGACTTCAGCAAAATATTGAATGGGGAATCTTTGAAAGAAACTATATACGATGATATCATTTTAAGGCATTTAGAGGAGCCAATATCAGCAGGGGAAGGTCTGCCTCCAATGTGCAAAGGTTTAGATGCAGTACAGTTTTTAGAAGAGGAACAATTAAATACTGATCTAGAATTGGGCCCAGCAAATCACAACGATAACGATTCAGCCTCAAGTAGAGAAAGAGAATTTATAGAAGATGCTGATGTAAATACTGACACTCACATTGCTAATGAAGTGGACACGAGGTTAGAACCAAGAGGGTCTGAGCTTGGTATTGAAGAGACTTTTAGCGGGGCCACAAATGAAATGGATGAAAAGGAAGATGAAATAGACCTATATGCTGAGGGAGAAGATCTTGACAAGGTTTGCCAAACTGCTGAAATGAAAAATGTGGTAGAAATACTAGAGACTGAACGTGAATCAGGGGAAGGTTCTGAAGAACAAATTGAGATGATAGATACAGAGATGATGGACGATAGCTGCCAGATCATTCCCTTTGGAAATGAGGGCGGTGAGGATGCTCAGGATTCTCCAGATGAAGATTTGGGTGAAGATTTGTCAGGAAAAGAGACTGACATGCCTGATAATAACCCGTCCCTCAGTTCTGAAGATACTAATGGGCACAAATCTGACTCGCAGCTTGGAAAAGAATCTAAGTCAGATGTTTTACTTGGAGTTCACAGTGTGAGTGAATGTTCTTTAGAAGATACACATTTGGATCATCAAATACTCGAGGTGGATCATAGCAATAAAGAGGAAACTGCCCCAAATCTAACCAGAGAAATATCAAGTGAAAATTCTGGGCTTTCTATTGGAGAATTGGCTACACTAGAAGCAAACTCAGCCAATGAACATGTGATTAAGGAAGACACAGTGGATTCCAAAGTGTCGGATGTGCCAGATAACAATGGAGAAGTAGCCAGTGATTCCCTAGATGACCCATATGTCCTTGGAGACCGTTTGCCTACAACAAATGAAATTTTTTATGCTGGAAGAGAAATGCAGGAGGCTGATATCCAAAACAGCTCAAGTGATTTCAGGGAGGGAGAGAACACAGAAAATGAAAACCACTTGCTTTCCATAGATCGGAAAAACATTGTTACTAGAACAAGGTCCCACTCTGGGAAAGTACCGGGTTATGTGCCAGAAACAGTTCCAGAAGAAACAGGGACAGACACCGAATTGCAGACCTTGAGCACAAGCACCATTATGCCTGAAAATGTAAGACACAGTTTCTGTTGGGCAGAAGGAAAACCTATAGAACTGGCTAGAACGCTGCCAGCAAAGCCAAGACGCTTCATTTTGTACCCTCGATCTTATTCAGTGGAAGGCAGAGACATCCCTGTCTCTCTGTATCGAGAAACCGATAACTCTATATTAGATTATAACAGATTAAACAGGACAGATGAGCTGTCTTTACCATATGTAATTGGTTCCTCAGGTAGTTTTTCCCAGAGGAATCACCTTACATCCAGTGGGGTTTCCACTCCTTCCTCTGTTGTCGATATTCCACCTCCCTTTGAACTAGCCTGTATCACCAAGAAGCCCATCACAAAAAGCTCCCCGTCCCTTTTAATAGACAGCGAATCTCCTGATAAGTATTGCAAGAAGAAGAAGTCCTCGTTTAAAAAATTCCTCACTTTGAAATTCAAGAAGAAGGCAGAAAACAAAGTCCATGTAGATGTTCATGTTTCTTCTTCAAGATCCTCCTCTGAGTCGAGTTATCACGGACCTTCCAGGGTGATGGAACTGGACAGAAGAAGCTTGAGTAGTTCACCTCAGATGTTATCCCGGACTGCCAAACTGAGGGCTTCCGAGTCTCCAACTGTTCTTTTCTACAAGGATGGCAAGAGAAAAGGGACACCCAAAATGTTTAGCAGAAGTGTGTCAAGGGTAGAATCATTTGAAGATCGTTCGAGACCGCCTTTTATGCCGCTGCCTTTAACGAAGCCCCGGTCTATCTCATTTCCCAATGCTGATACTTCTGACTATGAGAATATCCCAGCCATGAATTCTGATTATGAAAATATACAGATACCTCCCCGAAGGCCCACTAGGGCAGGAACCTTTACTGAATTTTTTGAAGATCCTAGCAGGGCCTTATCTGCTGCAAATGAGAATGACGGCTATGTGGATATGAGCAGCTTTGCAGCCTTTGAAAACAATAAACAGCAAACCACCAACCAGGAAACAGAAAGGTATTGTAGCACATATTTATATAAGGCCTGTTAGCCTTGACCACAGAAGGCTAGACTTCCTCTGTATTGGGAGCTAAAGGCTTATTCTCAAACTTACTTGGCTTATCTCACTTTTTTCAGGAAATGCCTTCTATAAAGTATTTAGAATAGGGCATGGTTTAAAAAAAAACACCTGGTATTTTATATGTGTAGTTTAAAAGTTCCCTACTTCCAATGCTTATCAGAAAATTGCTAGATTTTCATATCTGGGACCCAATAGTAAAATCAAGTTAATTTTCACAAATCTTCTATAAAATTTGGACTGAAACTTGCTCATTTTCATTTTGGAAAATGCTTCTGCGTTGTGGATGTAGCTTTGAACCTTTCTGTGTATAATCCGATACAGGTAGTCCTTGAGTTACAACTATTCATTAAGTGACCGTTTGAAGTTACAATGGCACTGGGGGAAAAAATGACATAACTGTTTTTCATGTTTATAACTGTTGCAGCATCCCCATGGTCACGTGATCACAATTTGAATGCTTGGCAACTGGTTTATATTTATAACTGTTCTAGTTTTGTGGCCTTCTGACAAGCAACGTCGATGGGAAAGCCAGATTCATTTAATATCCATGTTACTAACTTAACAACTGCAGCAACTCACTGAACAAGTGTGTCATAAAATGTGCCAAAACTTAACATTTTAAGCTAACTTAACAACTATCTCACTTAGCAATGGAAGTTTGGGGCTCAATTATGGTCATAAATCAAGGATTATCTGTAGAATGAATGAAAGCTCCAGGGCAGAATTTTCCTCTAAACTATTATCTACCCTTCCTGTTTCTCTGCTATTGTGCTTATCTGTTCCTCTAAGAGTTATGGTTCCCACAAGTGTAAGATTGAGTCTATAGTTTAGACTTCAGATAACAGATAATTAGAGTTGGAAGGGACCTTGTAAGTCATCTAGTCCAACCCCCCCCACCCAAGTGGGAGATCCTACACCATTTCTGACAAATGTCAGTCTAATCTCTTCTTGAAGGTCTCAAGTGATGGTGCTCCCACAACTTCCGAGGGCAAGCTGTTCTATTGGTCGATTGTTCTCACTGTCAGAAAGTTCCTCCTTATTTCCAGGTTAAATCTCTCCTTGATCAGTTTCCATCCATTATACCTTGTCTGGCCTACAGGTGCTTTAGAAAATAGCTTGACCCCTTCCTCCCTGTGGCAGCCCCTCAAATATTGGAAGACCTCTATCATGTCTCCCATGGTCCTTCTCTTTACTAGACTAGCCAAGCCCAGTTCCTGCATTGTATGTTTTAGCCTCCAGTCCCCTAATCATCCTGGTTGCTCTTCTCTGTACTTTTTCTAGAGTCTCAACATCTTTTTTATAATGTGGTGAACAAAACTGGATGCAGTACTCCAGGTGTGGTCTTACTAAGGCTTTATAGAGTGGTGTTAGTACTTCCCTTGATCTTGATTGTACCCCTCTGTTAATACAATTTAGGATTGCATTAGCTTTTTTGGCTGCTGCTGCACACTGCTGGCTCATATTTAGCTGGTTGTCCACTAAGACTCCAAGATCCCTCTCACAATTACTGCTATTGTGCCTGGTTTCACCCAGTCTATATGTGTACTTTTGGTTTTTCTTGCCTAAATGTGGGACTTTACTTTTCTCTACGTTGAATTTCATTTTGTTAGATAGTGCCCAGTGTTCTAGTCTGTCAAGATCCATCTGGATCTTGAGCCTATTTTCTTGGGTGTTAGCTATTCCTGCCAGCTTAGTATAATCTGCAAATTTGGTAAATTCCCCTTCTATTCTTCCTCTTGGTGCAGCCATTATGACCTGTTCAAAGCTCATGATTTGTATAAAGGTTTTCATAATCAATGTTTGGGAAAATGTCTGAATGAATTTCAAAAAGTGTTAGAAACTCTTGTGTTCTAGAATATGTGTTTTTCTAATCATTTGGAGGGAGAAAGATACTGAATCTAATGCAGAACTTTAGTAATGTCAATTCACTAGCTTTTACCTTGGAACTGCATCTTAATTTTATTTATAGAAAGACCACTCAGAATATGACTGGTATCCCATGTGCTTATAGAGGACAAGGTATTGAATCTGATGGTAATTGGCTCCTTCCTCCACTAAAGCACCTTAGCAGGATGAAACTTCAGCTAGGAGCGTTTCAAATAACAGTTCAATCATTCTCACCATGATGTTCCTCTATATCAGTGATGGCGAACTTTTTTGTTGTGGTGTGCTGATAGTGCGCGTGTGTGCGTGCCAGCACCCACAGTGCAATGTGCCTCACCCCCCTTGCATTTGCACACAACCCCCACCCCACCCCCATACCTGCACTGCGCATGTGCATGCCTCCCAGTTGATTTTCAGCCCATTTGAAGCCGTTTTCGCCCTCCCAGGGGCTCAAGGGAAACCTCTGCAGCCTTTGGAGGCCAAAAAATAGGCCCGTTTCGGCACTTCCAGTTTCAGCACTTCCAGTATTTCTGGAAGTCCTGTTTTTCGGCCTCCAAAGGCTGAAGAGGCTTCCCTTGAGCCCCCAGGAGGGCAAAAAAGGCCTCAAATGGGCCAAAAATCAGCTGGGAGGCGCGCATGCGCAGTGCAGGTAAATTTGGCTGGGGCTCGTGTGCCCACACAAATGGCTCTGCCATAGGTTCGCCATCATGGCTCTATATTATGTTTTGATGAACAGATTTAAAACTGCAACACTATAATATTGTTCAGAATCCTCTGTAGCCCAGAAGTGCTACATTTGCAGGAAATTCTTACATTCGATCATGCACCTAATTTCTTTATATTCAGAAGGTTGTGATCTGTGCATTGGGTGTTGGTGAATATACTTAATTAGATTCAATCAAGTTTATAGAGCAAGAACCCAATAATGAAAGCATGCTGGATATAATCTTTCTTTACAATTACTGATATGGGGGTTAGTAACCAGTACATTACCCTCTGAGGGATAGTTACTTCTTTTCTTCCCAATTTCGCTATATAGTATTAATAATTAAAATAATGATTTGGTAATGGAACATTAGAGATGTCAATAGAATGACAATGTCGTTGTTCACTCAATGAAAAGCAATCAGTTATACCAAAAAGAGTAGGCCTTTGGGTCCAACAAAACCTGTAAAAGAATTTGTCATTTGTAGCAAAAAGGTTTTGATTTTGGTAATCTATTTTTAGCCTTTTATGTACTACTCTGGAACCATTTCAATGTTACAAGGAGTAAGTATGTAGAAGACCCCCTCTCAGTGAATCAAATCATCACCCATTATCACTCTATACAGCTACTGAGTACAAGATGTATAAGTTTATTTTTCATTTCATGATTTACAAATATCTAATTGCAAGAAGGTAAAAAGGGTCACTTGGAAGCACCATAGAGTTATTGCAGCTATACTAGTACATATCATTGCTAATCTGGAATACTGGGATTGGAGAAATCAAAGTAAGGAGACAGTATGATTTGTCCAGTACTTTCTCTTTAATAGACAGTGTGGGACTATTACAGATGAAAACTGCAGTTTTCTTTTAGCATTCAGTAGGTGATGTGTCCCCTTTGGAAGCCATATTAGAACCAGAAGCTTCCACACTGCCACATTTCTGTGCCTGGGAAAGTATGAGGGGGGCGGATTTTAGAGTGTTGGTACTTGGACATAATAGCATTTTTCTTTTTGGACAAGGTCATGTTATTCTTGCACCTGGAGGATGAGTGGTTGAAGGGATGTCTCAAGTTGGGACTGTTGGTGATTGGACCATGTGATTGACTGATAGATGCAAGGTTGTGTTTTGACTTTTGAATTACTAAGGGAAAACCCGGAACTCTCAGATTCAGGTTTTCCCAGATGTGCCAGTATACCTACTCTAATAAAAGGAAACTTTGAGAAAATGCCTGTCTTAGAGTTTTTAATTGGAATTGGGTTTTTCTGGAACCCTGACATGATGGTGGCTAGCTAATGTTGGGCAGATTTTAAAAGTAGGGTCATACCTGCCTACTTATTGAATAATTGACTATCAATACATCTCATAAGTGTAGAGTAGACTGAGAAGCTGAAAGAAGCTTCTCTCTAACATCTCTAACATGTCCAAGAAAACTGTATAGGTATGGCCATAGAATGACCACAAGTCAAATCAAGTTCCAACCAAACTTTGCTTTTTGCTTCTCTTTAAGAAACTGAAGGCACTGTATGTGTATCCATCAAGTAAAGTGAAAGAAGTGTTTGCTAAGAAGGTTTAAGAGGCCCATTTGTTTACATTTTTAATGCCAGTCTTTTAAACCAAATAATTTATGTGAATGAATGAGAATCAAATTGCTTCTGCATAGCTTGGATTCACCCTCTCCAGATACATGTATATGATACCCTTGTTCATGTCAAATTAGTCATAGCTTCACGAGGAAAATCTTACTAAAAAGGCATGACTGTAGTTTTCCCTGCTCATAGAACACAGAATGTAGACTCATAGGGCTGGGAGGGACCTCAAAGATCTTCTACTCCAACCCCCATCACAGCAGGAGACTTATACTATCTCAGTCAAATGGTTGTCCAGTCTATTTTTGAAAACCTCCAGTAATGGAGCACCTATAACTCCAGAAAGCAAGCTGTTCAATTGATTAATTGTTCTCACTATCAGAAAATTTCTCCTTACTTCTAGGTTGGGTCTTTCTTTAACAAGCTTCTACCCATTACTTCTTATCCTGCTCTTTGGTGCTTTGGAGAATAGACCCACCCCACTTCTCTGCAACAGCCCCTCAACTACTGGAAGACAGCAAAGACATCCACTCCTCCAATCCTTTTCTTTAATAGGCTAGACATACCTGGCTCATCCATTCATCATATGATTTAGCCTTCAGACTCTTTATCATCTATATTGATCTTCTCTGCACACTTTCAGCATCTTTTTTGGGTCAGGGTAACCAGAACTGCAGTATTCCAAGTATGGCCACACTAATGCATTATAAAACAGTATTGTCTCTTCCTGTGTTTGTGATGCTATCCCTCTGCTGATA